GGTTTTTATCAAACTTTATCTTCAGGCCCACTTTTGTATGGACGAGGATTCTTGGTAAATATTGGTATAGGTGGTTACCTTCGATGGTATAACTCTCATTCCACTTTACTGTACTTCACTTATGATTTGTCATCACGTTTGAAATGAGTTCATTCCTGTTCACATCGCACTTTTCAAATTAGGCACTTTTAGGTTTAAATTTATTCACATTTTCCACTACACTACACTTTATGACTTCATCACCTTCCAGGTGTCGATCATCACAGCTCGATTCAGAGTCTAAATAGGCATTATGGGTCGGGATGTGTCAATTAGTCAAGAGGAACTTGGGAAACATCTGTAGACATCGAAATTTCGGTAAATAAATGTTGACCGATAAATCAAAGTTTCAACGCTCATGTATTACATAAATTTTACACGTAGCGTGTGTCTAAACAAAAAATTGAAATAAGTTGGAAAAGTCATCAAACAGGACACGTGTCAACACCTGGCAGAAACGACTTATTTCATCTGGAATATTATATTCAAAATTAGGCCTTGAAAATTTCTATAAATAGAAGGCTAATTCATTCATTTGAGGGAACCAAAATCATTAGGCAAAACTCTTGAAGCTCTGAAGCTCTGAAACTCCGAAGCTCTCAAGCATCCAGGTTCCCGAAGAATCAAGAAAGCGTTATTCGTTCATCGTTCTTCCAAGATCAAGCCCGACGGCCCTTGGATCAACAATCATCCACCTTCAAGATCAAGCCCCGACGGCCCTTGAGGAAAGCATTCTTCGTTCATCGTTCATCGTTCTTCCAAGATCAAGCCCGACGGCCCTTGGATCAACAATCGTCCACCTTCAAGATCAAGCCCCGACGGCCCTTGAAGAAAGCACCATCGTTCATCATCCGTTCATCCAAGATCAAGCCCCAACGACCCTTTGGATCAACAACGTCGACAAATCCACACATCCAACCGTTCTTCAAGATCAAACCCAAAAGCCCTTGAAGATCCGTTCATCACTGTTCTTCAAGATCAAGCCCAAAAGCCCTTGGAGATCCGTTCATCACTGTTTTTTCAAAGATCAAGCCCAAAAGCCCATTTGAAGATCCGCTCAAATCCACCTTCAAGATCAAGTCCACGGCCCTTAAAGAACGTTCATCCAAGATCAAGCCTTGACGGCCATTGGATCAATCACACATCCACAAATCAACACCTTACGGAGATCGAATCAGAGGATCAAAATAGAGAGAGATTGTAACCCAAAATCATCAAATACAAATATTTGTTTGTGTACGTTGTTCTTGTCTCTTTCGTTTCAGGAATTTTCCGTGTTCACAAATTGGCACGCCCAGTGGGACATCTCTACCTCTCATCTCTTTCTCCGTTCAAGAAATTCAAGTGCACTTCCAAAATTAATGGCATCAAGGAAGGCTCAAACTGTTCTCGCAACCGGCGCAAAGAACAAGAGCGTCCTCGTCGCAACTGGTGTCACTGTGGGCATCACGACTCGAAGCATGGCAAGAGCTACTTCTGCCGCCTCTTTCACCTCTACATCAACTCTGCCAAGGGAACAAAAGCACCGAAGGCACGAGCCTTTGATCACCTTAGCCTCACTAAGGGCACCAAGGGGGGAAAGCCCAAGGAAATACTCCGAATCCATGCTCTCCGATGCCGATTCAAGCGACAGTTCAGCCATGCAAGTCATGACCATTGGAGCAACTTCAATCGATGAACAGCTGGCTCAAATGAATGAAGCGATCGCAAGGCTAACCCGAACTGTGGAAGAAAAAGACTTGCAAATTGCAGCACTGGTCAACCGACTGGAGGCGCAGGACGGTGATAAACCCGACCCAGAGGATGATCTACTAAAGAGAAGAGACGACGAATGAGAGGAGCCTCAGGTGGAGAAAAACGATGTGAAGTCGGAGTCAGACCAAGCAGCGGCACTCATGGGATCTCTTTCTATCCAGCAGCTGCAAGAGATGATCACCAACACCATCAAGGCACAGTACGAAGGGAGCTCACATACCTCCTTGTTCTACTCGAAGCCCTATTCCAAGAAGATTGATGCCCTAAGGATGCCAAGGGGTTATCAACCACCAAAGTTCATGCAGTTCGATGGAAAAGGAAACCCAAAGCAGCACGTTGCACATTTCGTCGAAACTTGCAACAACGCAGGGACGGAGGGAGACTACCTCGCCAAGCAGTTTGTGCGCTCGCGGAAAGGCAATGCCTTTGAGTGGTACACGGACCTAGAGCCCGAGTCCATCAACAGCTGGGAGCAATTAGAGCGGGAATTCCTCAACCGCTTCTATAGCACCCGCCGCACTGTGAGCATGCTAGAGCTAAAGAGCACAAAGCAGTGAAAGGACGAGCCAGTCATTGACTACATCAACAGATGGCGCACTCTAAGCCTCGACTGTAAAGACAGGCTCTCGGAAACCTCTTCAATCGAGATGTGCATCCAAGGCATGCAATGGGGTTTGCAATACATCCTTCAAGGCATTAAACATCGGACCTTCGAGGAATTGGCCACTCGCGCCCATAACATGGAGTTGAGCATCGCCCATCATGGGAAGAAAGAACCGATCACCGACTACAAGAACGACAAAGTTCTTGGGACAAAGGTGGAAAATGCTGCATGGAAACCCACCAAGGAAGCGATGACGGTCAACACATCTCCCGTCAAAATATCCACACGAGGCAAGGCGATTCAAACCGAAGCTTTTCGTGATCAAGAGACGCGTAGACGCACTTTGAAGGAGCTTGAGGAGAAGACTTATCCATTCCCCGACTCTGATGTGGTTGCCATGCTAGATGACCTGTTGGACAAGAAGGTGATCAGTTTGCCTGAGTGCAGACGGCCGGAAGAAATGAATCGTACCAACAGTCCAAGATACTGTAAATTCCACCGCTTCATCAGTCATCCGACAGAAAAATGTTTCGTACTGAAAGATCTCATCATGAAGCTGGCTCAGAAAGGAATCATCGAGCTAGATCTTGACGATGTGGTGAACTCAAACTATACCACCTTCACTTCTGGCTCTTCCGACTCAAAATTTTCACCTCAACCGCTGGGGGCATCCTCCAAGACAAGCAAAGTTGAAGGATGGACTCAAGTCACTCCTAAGAAATTGCACAAGAAGCATACGTCTCCTCCACAAGTTTGCCAATCGGAAAGGGGGCAAAGCAGCTCTTGTCAACCTTCAAAGCAACGTGAACATGTTGAAGATGATAAAATTGCGACACAAAGATCGTCCGTTGCCATCACGATGCGTGATTTCTTGCCCGAAGACTTCTTCAATCACGCGGTCAAGGCTCCTTGCTATGAAGATTGTGAGGAACGCTTTTCCAAAATTGCTTGACAAATTCACCAATGCTCCTTGTTCGCACGAGCCTAAACTGCACGAACCAAAGCTCTTTGTCTGTAAGAGCCTAAACTGCAAGACACAAAGCTCTTTGTCTGTAAGAGCCTAAACTGCAAGACACAAGGCTCCTCGCCTGCACGAGCCTAAACTGCATGGCACTAAGCTCCTTGTTCGCACGAGCCTAAACTGCACGAACCAACGCTCCTGGTCTGCACGAGCATAAAAGGCAACACCAAACCTCCTTGCCTGCACGAGCTGAAACTGCAACACGGCACCAAATGCTCCTTGTCTGCACGAGTTGAAACTGCAAACGACAACAACACTCCTTGCCTGCATGAGTTAAAACTGCAAACGACACAAAAAGAAAAAAAAAATGTATTTGAACTACGTTACGACTTGATCTCTTCTTTGGAGGGGTACGTAGGCAGCTCGAATGTTCAATTTTTTGAGTTCAGTCACATCAAAATCAAAAGAATAAATGTTTTATTAAAGAAGGTCAATTTCATTACAAATTTATTTTGTTAAAGAAAATTACTATTTTCTTTGTACAAAATTAAACTACAGTTTCTTCGAAAAAAAAAAAAATTGAATACATATGTTATTATGTATTTAAAAAAAAAATCATTCTGAAACCCCATCAGCAGCAAGCCTCTTAAAATGAGGCCATCCAGGCCCAAGTGGCAGCCTCCAAGCCCAATCCGCGGTCAAATCCAATGCTTGTCTCAAATCTCAGCCGCACTAAACCTCTCAAGGAGTCAAGGGACAGAGAAAGCCCTGTTTCTAAAACCCTAGCTAAACCCTCGCCTCGCTTCTCCTCCAAACCAAATGGCTTTCACTTCAATTCTCCGCCGATCGGCCTCCTCCCTGGCCCCACTCGCCAGCCGCCTTGCTCGTGGCCAGCGGTCTTACCACGGCGCTGTTGCCACCGCCGTCAACCGCTTCAATTTCTCCCGAAAGCACACTCAGCCGACCCCTTTCGTTCCCACCCCTCGATACTATTCGAGCCACAGTTCGGACCAGTCTCTGATCAAGGTGATCGAGTCGGAGATCAAGTGCGCTGAGGAGACCGAGGATCTCGACAAGGTTGAGGAGATTCCATCATCCTTCCCCTTTAAAATTGAAGATACTCCCGGAATCCAAACAGTGACGCTGAAAAGAACATATCAAGGTGAAGACATACAGGTTGAAGTTCATATGCCTGATCTAGTCACAGGTGAATACGACAACGATGATAACCAAAATGATGACAATGATGAACACGCCAACCAATCCAGCATCCCGTTGGTTGTAACTGTCTCCAAGGGTAACGGACCAGTTGTCGAGTTTAGCGTCACTACTTACCCTGATGAGTTTCAAATTGACAGCTTGGCAGTGAAAAATCCCGAAGATTCCGAGGATCAAATTGCCTACGAGGGGCCTGATTTCCATGATTTGGATGAGAACCTTCAGAAAGCATTCCACAAGTATTTAGAGGTGAGAGGAATCAAGCCCAGCACAACTAATTTCTTGCATGAGTACATGCTCAACAAGGACAACAAAGAATATGCAAATTGGTTGCAGCAACTTAAGCGATTCGTCGAAGCATAAAACTTTTACCGTAAGATGTTACCTGCTAGAAAAGATTGGAGGGAATTTTGTCAACAACTCCTCCTCTCCAACATGTACCAGCGCCCCGATATGCTTACCAACCCCGGCGTCGACCCCCAGGGCCAAGCCCTCGACCCCCGCAAGATCCAGGACAACTTCGAGGATTTTTATGAGGATCTGTTCGAGGAGCTGAGCAAGTACGGACAGATCGAAAGCTTGGATATCTGTGACAATTTGGCTGACCACATGGTTGGTAATGTGTACGTTCGGTTCAGGGAGGAAGAACATGCTCAAGCTGCGCTTCAGAATTTCACTGGCAGGTTCTATGCAGGGCGTCCCATCATCGTCGACTTTTCACCCTTGACGGATTTTCGTGAAGCTACCTGTAGGCAGTACGAAGAAAATGTATGCAATCGAGGTGGCTACTGCAACTTCATGCACTTGAAGAAAATTAGCAGGGAGTTGAGGAGGCGGTTATTTGGGAGAAACAAGTGAAGGCATAGCCACAGTCCTCAAAAGCATCATCGTGGTGGTTATCAGGAGCGCCCACATGGAAGTCATGGTTCGAAATGGGTTGGATTCGAATTTCGGTCCTGGAGGTTTCTGTCTCTCGATCTTCACAGCTTCTGCTCCCTCCTCCCTCTCCCTTCGTCTCTGTAGAAATTTGGGGCACCTAGAAGGCACCCAAATTCAGTCTCTCAGCCATCCATTAGATCTGAAACTCTGATCCATTCCAAACAACTCATTCAATTTCTAAGCTTCTGAAATCAGAAGCAACAAAAAATGAAGAAAAGCTCAGATGGGTTTGTGAGGGTAGATCGGATTGATCTGAAGAGCTTGGATGACCAGCTGGAAAGGCATCTCAACAGGAACACCACCACCGCTGGCTCCAGCAGCCGGGTCATCGTCAGGCAGCATGGGATCCGAATCTGACCGTGGTCGCACCCGAACCCGATCGAGACCATGAATGCGCACCGCATAAATTGAGACGATTTAGAAGAAGCAGGGGAGGCAGTTTGGAGTCAACAACCTCAAAAACGGTCATTGCCGTCACACCCACCTACGCTCGGACCTTCCAGGCGCTACAGTTGACTGGCGTTATGCACTCGCTGATGCTGGTGCCGTACGACTTCATCTGAATCGTCTAAATTGTCGCTAAGACCGACCCGGCCCCTTTCTAAACCCTGATCTCCCACCTCATGTCTTCCGCCAACGATCAGCGCTCCCAGGCGGAGCTCCTCTTCAACCTCTGCAAGCTTGCTGTACTCTCCCCCATCCCCGGCGCTCAGATCCTTCAAGCCGTCTCTGCGGTTGGGCTGGAGCCACATACGGGCTTGAGGTGGCTCATCAATACGGTGTTCACGGGCAAGCTGGTGTTGTTTCAGACGACATGAATGGGCCCATCAACAATGAGCGGCAATCCCCTTCTGCCCGTCAGTTCCAAGCAGCAACGGCGACGGTAAAGTCTCCGACATCAAGGTTGCACCGCTCTTCTCTTGCACCCTCTTCCGTCTCTTGCCTCGCAGCTGCCACCCACTTCAAAGACCGCTGTCAAACGACTAGCCGGCCGAGAAGCTCTTCCTTAAACTCCAGCTTTCCGTCCGTCTTCGTCCTTCCCTACAAAATCCCTCAGCCAAGCATCCTAATTTATACAAAAAAAAAAAAAAAAAGTGGTGGAGCAAAGCAAAGTGGTGCTGTCACCACGTGAAAAAAAAGAGGGTGGAGCAAAGCAAAGTGATGCTGTCACCACGTGAAAAAAAAAGGGGGGTGCACCAGGCACCATGTGCAAAGAAAAAAAATAAAAGAATAAAAAAATATATATATATATTGTAAAGGTTTTGGGTGCTCCACTTACCGTGTTTTGATTGTTTTAAAGCCAAGACTGGAAAGAAGGAGAAATAATATAAAAAAAATTTTGGTGGAGTCTTGGTGCCTCTGGCACCATGTGAAAAAAAAAATTAAAAAAAAAAAAAGAATGGTGGATCAGTCCATGTGAAAAATTAATATGTATGTATGTGTGCATAATATATGTATGTTTACAGCAAAAAAAAAAAAAAAAAAAAAAAACCAAATGCATCGAGAGAAATAAAGTCCGCTTTTCTTTATTTCTTTCTGGAAATTTTTACATAAATTTGCATTGTACATACAAAAATAAAAAATAAAAAAAATAAAAAATCAATCAAATCAAATTTACAAGAGGGGATCTTCAAGGACGATCAGGTGCCACCTCACCACTCGGCAGAGCTCCAGAAATGAGAGGCACTGGAGGTTGACTGTTTGAAGCCTCACCACTCGGCGGAATTCCAGGAAGAAGAGGAGCCAAAGGATGATCATTCGGAGCTTCACTACGCGGTACAGCCCCAGAAGACGAAGGTAAATGTTGTTAGAACAAACCCATAAACCTCCGATGATCAAGTAAAATCTGACCATCAGATTCCTGCATCTGGTCAATTTTCCTCTTCATGTTTGTGGCATAGTTGTGTGCGAGCTTGTGCAACTGTTTATTCTTATGCTTGAGCCCCCTAATCTTCTGTTTGAGACTCATCACTTCAGCCGCCAAGGATTCAACTTGACGGGTTCGAGCAAATAGGCGTTGGGCCATATTAGACACAGAACCTGCACGCTGCACACTGCACACTAAGAGCCAGAGAATCTTTAACAGCCAACTCATCAGACCGTTTGGAAAGTAGTCTGTTATCTCTGGGAGTGACAAGGTTCCGGGCCACCACCGCAGCGGTCATGTCATTCTTCATCACCGAATCCCCGACGGTAAGAGGACCAGTAGGGGATATGAAGGATGGGCGCCATATGTTGTCTGGAGAAGGCGGGACTGCCTCTTCACCAAGATTCAAGTCAAAACGACGGTCGGAGGGTCCAGACATTTTCAAAGTGTTGAAGAAAGAAGAGGTCGGACGAATCAAGATCTTAGAAGTGCAAGAAGGGAGTTTCTACAAGCGAAAATTCAAGTGTGCTTTGAAACGAACTGCGTGCCTCTATAAAAAAGCAGCACTCGACGGGATTTCAGAGATCGAAGAGGTGAGCTCAGAGTTTGAAAATGCCGATTCAAAAATCGAAGAGGCAAACTCAGAAATCGGAGAAGCATCTTGCTTTTCCAGACGCGTTAGCCCCCGTCACACGCAAACTCAGCTTTGCGAAAATCACGGGCAATTTGTTAAAGTGCCAATCCCAGATATCGAAGAGGCGCCAGTCTTTTCAGCCTTGTCACACCCGTCACATGCAAACTCAGCTTTGCGGAAATCACGGGCAATTTGTTAAAGCGCCAATCCCAGATATCGAAGAGGCGCCAGTCTTTTCAACCTCGTCAGCACCCGTCACGCACAAACTCAGCTTTGCGGAAATCACGGGCAATTTGTCGAAGTGCCGATCCTAGATATCGAAGAGGCGCCAGTCTTTTTCAGCCTCGTCAACACCTATCACACGCACACTCAGCTTGACGAAAATTACGAACAATTTGTCGAAAATTTCTGATAAAGAAGAAGGCACGTGAAGCCATACTGATCAATCACGCATTGGTTACCGACACGAGTAAAAGAATAGTACCTCTACAGGTACTAACGAATTTCCTATAACTGTCCACCTTCACCCTCCATAGCGAGGCAGACATACATAACCTTTCTTCATCTCCGAGAATACCTTCCCAACGAAGCCTCTCGGGTCACTCAGTGTTCCTTATTCCTTGGGGTACCTCTGCAAGCCAATGACTCCAAAGCAAAAGTATCTCATATCACCAGGGTAGAAAGCAAGAGTATCTCATATCATGCGTTCTCCCTATCCTTTCCTTTGTCCTTGTTCTTACCTACAAAGACAAGGATAAAGAAAACAATATGCCGGAACTTCCACTCAAACTCGGGTAAGGAACCGACTGCTTGGAACCCTTCCCTGATTGCCTACCTAGCACTGATCTCGAGTACTCGTCTCCCACTGCTGTTGTACTTCCAAAGAAGCTACCACATCTGCCTGAAGAATAGATAAGGCAAGTGAAAATGATACCTTGCAGCATGTGGAGACAACGTGCAGAAGAAACAAGCAGAGAAGAATGCAGCATGCACAGTCAACTCAGCAGAAAGAGTCTGAGATGAAGAACTCGAGAAGATGCCACATCTGCCTGAGGAACAAATAAAGCAAGGGAAAATAATACATTGAAGCATGTGGAGACAAGCACAACAAAGCACGTGCCGATTCATCCGCTACTTCTTCAAAATCAAAAGTATCTCATATCATCAGGGTTGTAATCACTCTGGACGGTGAACTCGTTTTGACCCTCAAATTCTTGGGTCGACTTACTAGGCGTTGTGGGCTGCACGTGCCGATTCACCACCCTTGAATCGAATCCTTAAAGATTAAGTCACCAACTTGAAGAAAAACCCATCAATCTTGAAGATCATACCGTTGACCAAACTGTTCAGGTATGAATTAGAAAGATTGAACAAAGAAACAGGTTGTCACCTTTACCTCGTGCCTGCTTGCCATGTGTTTGAGTCAACCTTCAAGAATCAAGCCTCAACGGCCCTTGAAGAAGTTTCCAGCCAAATTCAAGATCAAGCCTCGACGGCCCTTGAGGAAATCACAAGTCCGATCCAAGATTAAGTGTCTACCACCCTTGAATCAAAACCTAGTTCAAGAATAAGCTGTGGAAAATCAACAATTGGAGGAATCCAGAAAATCCTCCGACCCAGTTCAAGATCAAAGCTGTGGAAAGTCAACAAGCGCAACAAAATATGTGCCGATTCACCCACTACCAAAGTCAAAGATCATCTACCACATGAAGCTCCTTGTGGTCTAATTTCAACCTTCAAGATCAAGCCTCGACGGCCCTTGAAGAAATTTCAAACAAAAGTTCAAGAACAAGCCTCAACGGCCCTTGAAGAAATCTCAAGCCCAATTCAAGATCAAGCCTCGACGGCCCTTGAAGAAATCTCCAGCCCAATTCAAGATCAAGCCTCAACGGCCCTTGGATCGACATCTACAGTAAGGGACTTCAAAACGCATCTCCTACACGTGACAAGCACATGTATACAACGCGCCTTGAAGTGGGGGCATTTGTAGACATCGAAATTTCGGTAAATAAATGTTGACCGATAAATCAAAGTTTCAACGCTCATGTATTACATAAATTTTACACGTAGCGTGTGTCTAAACAAAAAATTGAAATAAGTTGGAAAAGTCATCAAACAGGACACGTGTCAACACCTGGCAGAAACGACTTATTTCATATGGAATATTATATTCAAAATTAGGCCTTGAAAATTTCTATAAATAGAAGGCTAATTCATTCATTTGAGGGAACCAAAATCATTAGGCAAAACTCTTGAAGCTCTGAAGCTTTGAAACTCCGAAGCTCTCAAGCATCCAGGTTCCCGAAGAATCAAGAAAGCGTTATTCGTTCATCGTTCTTCCAAGATCAAGCCCGACGGCCCTTGGATCAACAATCATCCACCTTCAAGATCAAGCCCCGACGACCCTTGAGGAAAGCG